ATGAAGTCAGCTGACCACTGAAATCATGAAGCTCATCACAGTCTGGAAATACATCCAGGATGTCCATGTGGAGAAACATCTCTGAGATGTTCCAGTGGAGACTGAGAAATCAGCAGTCAGCTGAAGTTTCCTACTTACTGTATAAAAATCTTGTCAGGGAGTTTGGGGATCCAGTTTACTTGCTTTTTGTACAGTGGTTTAATGAAATGCTGGTAACTGGTAAGTTTGGGCCATAGTGATTTTTTTAATTTTTTTGTAGTACCCACTGAAGGCACTAGCAGGTTTTTCATGGAGTTTTTGGCTGTGGGATCAGGCTTCCATAAGTGCTAATGCTGTTAGTGTCAGCTTGTTAGATGGCTTAATGTGTTTGTATAATTAATCTCCAAAATGAGAGAATTCAGCTCATTTCCTGTAAGAATTAAGGCTTTTCAGTACTCAGAGAACAGAAAGACCATATGGGTGAATTTTTGGTTGCTATTGGTGTCTGATTAAATATTCAGCTGCCTTGTGCATTAAAATGTTGTATCTCACACTTCTGATTTTTAGGTCCTGGTTGCACAGTGCTTGGGCATTCTCAGTGAGGATGTGGACTGTATTAACAAACATGGAAATGCAAAGAAATTGGCTCATCTGTCCTCATACTTCCCAGCTGCTAACATTTAACCCAGAAGAATTTCTTGACAACAGTTGTTTCTCCTTTCCCTGTGTTTCTACACTATCCCTTTCTTACCTGTGCAAGCGAGTAAGACACCTATCTTAGAGAGTCTGTGAGCACTTTCCTAGTAGGCAGCAACAACCAAGATGAACAAATTCTCTGTGTTGCTTATTATCAAGCTAGGGAGTTGAATGAAGAGTTTTGGCCAGGTGTTCAAGTAGACGGAAATCACTTGAAACTCTTCCAAGCCACAGCTTTTCACCAGCAAGGAAATCCAGATTTTACGGCTGAAGGTGTAACCTCAGGGCTGATAGTTTCTCTCTGTCGTTTTCATACAGTAGAAGCCATCTGGTGCTGTTTGTGTGCATCCTGGTACACATATGGCTGAAGGATTCTGCCATGTTCTCTAGCAAAAGCCTGTCTTGCAAGCAGCTGGAAGCTATACATCCAAAGGGTGTACCAACTCTCTGATAAACTTACTCATTCGTTGCCTGTGTATTCTAATCAGTGCAGTATAACAGTGCTTTGTGCTTCCAGCAGTTGCAGACACTCAAGGTATTGTATAGCATTCCAGACTGTGGAGACAAAGTATAAGCCCTGTTTTATTAATGGTGAAGCTATAGACTGAAGGTGGACTTTTCAGGGGTTTTCATTCTTGGCCCAGCTTTACTGCCATTTCCAAACTTTCAAGCTAAATGTGCTGACTGTCAGAAAGCTGAGTTACAGAAACATAGTACTTGTCCTCAATTTTTGCTGGGGTGTCCCTGCCAGCCACAGACAGGCAAGAAAACTCAAGAGTAGGCCTGCGAATCAGGCCTGTCACCCTTCAGAGAGGGTTGTCCTGAAGGCATTTTGCTTGGACCTTATTCTTTGGTCCAATGTGTATTTTATCAAAAGATCTAACAAGGTTAAGACCAAAAGAAGTCAAACCTTGATATATCTGTTTATGCTGAGATCCATCAGTTAAAGTGGACAGAAGAGAGAAATGAAAATTGGAACTCCACCGGATACAGAGAACTGATAAATGACTTCCAAGCATTACTACTGTTTTGAGACAGCTAATGACTTCAGAAAGAAAAGATTGGGTCAAAGATTGGGTCAGTGTGTACTTCTTGGAACTTGAGGCTTTTTGTTTGTTTTTTGAAAGTTTTATGACATGTTGAAACAATGTATTGCATAACTCCTTCAGCCCTTCCCTGTTGCTTTCAGGGTTTTGTTCTGCTTATGTTTGTATATAATTGTGCCTATTAAGCTCCGTTTGACTGGTTTTATTCATCAGTTACTGAAGACACAATACTAAGAATAAGCTTCAGCCTTTGTACTCTTCATCTGAGTGCAGTGATGCATCTTTTCTCAGGAATGAATAATGGTGTTGTGATGCTCTGGAAATTAAAACGAATGCCTACCAACCACTAAAATGCCTCATATTTTCCTGTGAGGAAGGGGTGGGGAGGTCAACAAAGAAGTAATTGTCAGATGTTTTTGTTAATACTACCCATGTTAGCAGGGAGATGGTACATTCGGTGGCTTGGCAAGCCTGACAGTGAACTGGGCCTGTTGTACTGCCTGGGCAGTCTGTGTCCCCAGGGGAAGGCTGGCTTTTTTCCATCTCTGGAAAGAGATGTGTGTGAGCATGTAAAACTTAAACTGTTTAGCACTTACATTTCTTCATGACTTTGCAGGCAAGCTGTGCTGGACAGGCTCTTAGGAATGTACTATGGTGAGATGGGCCATACGTGTACATTTCTAAAGGCACAGATCTTCAGCTCCAAGACAGGCGTGTGTTTTTCTGTGGTCATCCAGTGAGCCCAGGTGAGGCTGCACGCTGCTGCTCGGGTGAGCAGTGCAGTCACTGAAGGCTTTCAGTGACACAGGGCAGCCTTTCAAAACAAGCCAGTATTTATTAGTCCCCTGGGATGGCACGTAGAACAAGGTCAGGTTTGTGTTGCCAAATTAAACTTAAGATGGAGCCTGTGGGGACTGAAGCAGCCACTCTGGGTTTCTAAACCCATTGGATGTCCTTTCTGTGTCCCAGTGTGTGAAGCCCTCACTCTGTAGTCCTTGCCACAGCCTCCTAATACCTCAGGGCACTTTTTCTCCAGTTGCAGTACTGCTGTGGTCAGAGTCCTGCCTCCTCCAGCTCCTGATGCCGATCTTTGGTCACTGGAGTCTTCTGTCACCTCTCCAAGGTGCTTTGGTGGCTGAGGGTCAGCTTGCAGTAGTCCTTCCACAGCAAATGAGACATATCTACTTATTGTGGCAAATACTGCTTTCCCAGGGAAGAAATTAGCTCAGTCATTCCTGCCCTAGCCTCCCATATCATCCACGTTTGTCATTTTATCAAACTCATGTTGTCTCTGGGGTGTTTCGCAGTGTGCAGGGACCACCAGCTTTGGAGGAAGAGCAGGCTGGTGAGTGTGACCAGTTTTAAGAGCTCAGGTGCTCTGGATAACAGCCAGTCTAAGTGCACCCCAGCCAGCAAGCTTACAGCAAAGTGATGGGTTCATAAATTAAAGGGATTTCCTGTGGCGATGAGGATGACTTCATCCCTCGCTACTTTTGATGGTGGGATCCTCTCCAGCAGGAGTTTTAATTTTGGACTTTCAGGTCCCAGTACAGAAATGTGCTTGGCTGAACTGAGGTGGTGTGTCAGGCACATTGCAGTGGGCATCTTTTTGTCTTGCTGGCTGACTGAGAACAGTAGACCATAGCCACATGTGCTGTTGCAATACATTGTCTGTTGTTTGTGATTGACCTTGACCAGCCTGTACAGCTGCTGGTTGTTCAGAGCTCACAGGCCACCAAGCAGTGCTACGGTTGGATGCTATGGGCCCAAGCATGGAAACTGCTTGTGTAAATTGAGTTACCACCCACAAAACCTGTCTGTGTCTTTGCATAGGGTTGGCAGGGGGACTGGGTGAAATTAGTCCTGCTGGAAGGAGCTGCAGGGCAAAGGGTGTTGCTAGATGACAGGGCTAAAGTGTGGCTGGACGGCAGGGGTTCCAGTGCTCAAGCCCTCCTAGATGTTGTGTGCTTATTACTTGTAAACCGCACCTCCATTCCCCTTAATTATGTCAATTGAAAAGAAGCCCAAGTTCAGATAACATTTTCCTCTGTTAGAATACATATTTAAATAATTGCTACCTTTCTCTTCCATAACACCCATTAGGGATTCTTCTTATTTTCTGACTCCCAGACAGAGAAGGCAAGCTGTCCTAGGGGTGCCTGCCTTTTGAATTCATTTAAGACATTAGCTTGATCAGTGTGCAGGTTTTGGTGTTAAGTACATTAATGATTTCTGGATGCTCTTGGTGTGGGGTATCATTTTCACGCAATGATGTATAACTATCCTTCCCTCTCATGTCACAGGCAAGTAGGACTTTAATAAAATTGATCACTGCCTTGTAGCTTGCAAGGTAAAATCTTTCTTCATCCACCTAAAACATTTGTATTTATTCAGGGAAGAAAAAAGAAAACCACCTTTTCTTCTCTTTGGCTTGTGGGGAGTTTTTCCATCAGATGTGTGGCATTTCCAATGTTTTATTGCAAAACAAGACTTTTTCATGTCCATTTGTAAAAACTCTGTGTAATGAATAAGATTTGATTGTTGTTGTAAGAGTAGTTGTCAAACCTACTTCAGTTGCTTAACATGATGTAATGATGAAGAGTCAATTGTGGGTGATCTTCCAAAGGACCGAATGACTTTTTTTCTCTTTTATTCTTCCGTAAGGCCTTCTTGCTTTGCTACTTTTTATGAAGCTTTTTTATGAGTGTCTGACAATGGTAGTAGTAAGTTGATAGGTTCAAACTTGTTTCAAGCTTAGCACAGGGGATGTCGTAACACATACACCCTCATGCATCAAGCAATAAAGAAAGGGGTGGATGGGTTGATTAGCTTTGTGGATGGCTTGTCTTCATTGGACATCAGAGCTGGGGAAGGTCAAATATGTTTTCCAGGGTCTGCTAATTTCTGGGTTCTGACTGATCCCCACATCAAAACTGGTTGAGAAAACCTCGAATCTGGGAAGTCTGGTTGTTCCTAAATAACCTGATAGGTTTTCCTGTATCTGTGAGGCTGTCTGTGTGTAGTTTGTCATTGTGCTTGAGGGCATGTACCTGCCTTTCTTCTATGATTTGCAGACCAGGCCAGGCTTTCAGAAGAACTCAGCAGCTACATGTTTTCAGTAAAACCTAGTGCTTTCCTCTTGTAGGAAGTGTTTTAAAACTAAATTGCGGATCAGTGCACCCATCTGAATGGCTTTGCGTACAGATTTGCCTGGACCTGATGTCTGCATATCACTGTGAGATGAATCCTGTGACCGGAGAGGTTTTCTGTTTTCCTTAGAGCAAATCGGAGCGCTGGCCGGGCAGCACATTGTGCACGTGGCCTGCGGAGAGTCTCACAGCGTGGCACTCAGCGACCAGGGCCAGCTCTTCTCCTGGGGCGCCGGCAGCGATGGACAGTTGGGCCTCACCACTATAGAAGATGCAGTGACAGTACCAAGGTAAATTTTTAACAGGTTCATGTTTCTTTAAGGCAACTTCTTGGAGGTGATGCATCAAGGGTTGCTCACCTCCCAGCCTGGAGTTGGTGGGACTGTTGCTTTCTCTCAGAGGGGTGGTAATCAGGCACTTCTCATGTAGGGATGTAAGGGTGATTCCTTCTCCTTTTCCATACTGTACTGGTGCTCCCTGAGACCCACTGGGACTCAGGCAAGTCCTCAGGAGGTTTGAACAGGACAGACCTTCTGCCCATGGGTTGTTGGAGCATGGAAAAGAAAATTGGAGCGTGTTCAGCTTCCTCAATGAAAAATGTCTTGGTACAGAGCAAGGAGGTGCATGAGGGAGGACCCAAAAATTGAAATGCTGTGTGTGATACCTATCTCTGTTCCCATCCCTAGGAAGCCTTCTGAGATAAGACATTAATTTAAAAAATGGTGGAAAAAAACCCCATGGCTGAGTGAACTGGCACTTCGGCTTTGAAACTCATTTTCAGTGTTACCCATTAGCAGCAAAACTACTAAACCAGCCTACTGCAATTCTTAATAGTGAATGTTGTTCAGAAACTTCAGGGTAGTGCTCAATTTTCTTCATTTACTTATTTAATATGTATCTTACCTGTGACAGAGCCCTAATAGGGTTAGGTGCAAGGACATGTAGGTGGTGGCAGAGGCCAGGGGCAGACACCAAGACTCCTCCATTCAAAGCAGTTCACAAATGATAGGTCTCAGCTTATCACCAGAATAAAGATAACTGCTCCCTTTGTACTTCATGGTGTTGTATCATGCTACATTAATAACAGATATAATCTGTCTCTTATTCGGTCTGTCACTGTAGATACAGTGCAGAGCAGAAGCTTGGGACATCTGTCTAGGATGGCTGTCATTGTTGAAACAGTATTTAAAGGAAGAGTTTCAGTCATAAAACATTAATGTTTGAGCTGAAGGGCTCTGTGGGAAGACAGTACTTAACTTGCAGGTGGCTCCGATATAACAGAGACAGGCTCGCATGTCACTGTGATAGTGCCATTTTAAAAATAACATTTTTGTGAAATAATTTGAACCTTTGACATGGTATTCTCTGTACAAAGCACTAAAGAGGTTTTGGTGTTGTAACTCATAGGAACTGCTAGGTCGCTGTCAGCATGAAAAATGTCGATGTCTGAAAAAGAATAGTGAGAGAGATGCCAAGAACCAGCTATTTTCACAATTTCCAGATGTCTGGATTCAGTGTTGTAGCAGGAAACATAGTTGGAGTTAGCAGTCAAGTGTCTAAAGGTCTCCACCGATTTGCATCTATTATGTATGGACCTGTATCACCTTCAGGACTCTGTTCCTTGCTCTCAAAACCATAGGCTATGTGCATATATAAAACAAATATCTGAAAGGAAATAATATTTTTGACCTAAGGTGATACTGTATTTGTGGACACTTATTCTAAAATAGTGTCATCTTCTTCAGGTTGATAAAGAAATTGAACCAACAGATGATACTGCAGGTTTCCTGTGGAAATTGGCATTGCCTGGCTTTGGCAGCAGGTACTGTAATATTCACTATTTATTACCAAGATTTGTGCTGTTATTTTGCACAGTGTCCAAGATTGTGTATTTCTGCATAATAAAACAAGGACATCCCTGTCCCAACTGCTCTCAGGCCAAATGGAAGGCTATAAAATGGATCAGGTACCATGAATATTGAAGAAGAACTTTGCCAATACTGTCAAGAAAGAAAATGTTACACACAGGCCACCCACTGTCTCACTGGTGAATTATGGCAGGAACACTTAAAAGTCTTCCATCTTGATGTAGAAAAATGTGTGTAATTAATTTTTCTGTGTTGAAATTATCCTTGGCTATTACTCTTCTACATGCAACATGTAGACTGTTCTTCATTTCTCTGTTTAAGTTACAGCAGTCTGATGTTGTATTTTGCACTTAGTTGCATGTCTGTTTATTTTCCTCGTGGCTTCAGACTGTGCTTTTATTTTAGCAAAGAATGTCTTGCTTGATTTTTCCATCATGAGTCTTGGGTGGGAGCAAAGCCCCCAGGACTGGTTCTTGTTCATTTTGACAAACTTGCTTTTCCGTTGACCATCTTTTACTTGCCACTTTCTTTCTTTCCTTGTTTCAGATGGCCAGTTCTTCACATGGGGGCAGAACAGCTATGGCCAGCTGGGCTTGGGCAAAGAATGTCCCTCCCAAGCCAGCCCACAACGTGTCAAATCTCTTGATGGTATCCCTTTGGCTCAGGTTGCTGCAGGTGGAGCCCACAGTTTTGCCCTCTCTCTCTCAGGAGCTGTGTTTGGCTGGGGGAAGAACAGCTCGGGACAGCTGGGACTGAGTGATGAACGAGGTATTAAAATTATTCTTCTAGGTGAAAGAAGGATGGACTTTTTTGGTCTAGTGTCTCTTTTTGCACTGACAGTATATTTTTACTGACTGGATGTGTAACCCTCAGCAACATCTCTGGGGAGGAGAGGGCAGAGGAACAGTGTCTGATGTACTTTACACGCTTTTCCTACTTAGTAGGAACACAGACACTTTTTTTCCTCTTGTGGATGTTAGTGGAAGTGAGGAAGGTCAAAAAAAGATCTTTCGAATGTGAGTGTCAACATGCAGGCATCGAAGGAAGTGCTCATATTGTTTCTTCCTCTTCTCAGAAATGCTTTGTCCCTATTTTGTTTGAAGCTGGCGTGGAGCAAAGGCTCTCCCTGAAAGCTGAACCTATCCCCTTGTTTGCCAATATGTTTTTTGACTGGTGAGCATATGTATGCTGCAAAATGGTGGCAACACAGAGTATGTCAGTATTGTAAAGTGTTGTCTAGTTTATTTGTTGAACAATTTTCCAGACACACAGGGCCATTGGTAGGTTTTTTTCAGGTGGCTGAGTTCAGTGAAGCCCGACCATCAACAGATTTAAAGATAAGTTTATAAATGAGGCTGAAGAGTGGGTGTGACATTACCACTAGTTCGAAAAGCCCAGATCTCCTCTGCTTGTTGCTAACACATTCTCAACTTTTTGCAAAAGCAAGTGGAACATTTTCTTTGGAGCTTCAAATCAACCTCTTTATCATTTTCTGTATAGTTGCTGAGGTGCTTCAAATATCTAGGCAAGTTATTGAGTGTGGATGTGATACTTAGCATGCAAGGATAATTTATTTTGCATGGATGAGTACTTGAGGTGTATATATTTGTAAATATTATGTTGCATAATGTGGTAGCATATAAACACTGTATGTTGCGAGAGAAAAGTTTTACCTCACGTTTTGTGTACCTATAATGGAATGATGCATTTTGACAACCCACCCTACCAACTGAAATGTATTTAAAGCAATTACACACAGCAAGCCTTGTAGTTTAGCAAAGGAGGCTCGTATGTTGTATGCCTCATTTCATCTTGCTTTACACTTTTAGAAATATGAAACACAGTTGTAAGACTTGTGTCATACCTTGTGTTCTTTCAGAAATGCTCCAGGTCTATTGTACTGTATGTAAGCTAGAGCTGGTCTAGTATAAGAGCAGCCATGTTCTTTCCATGTAGACTGGCTGATAAGTGCTTCTAATTGCAACAAAGCTGCGGTTTATTTATGAGAGGCTTGCTTTGACATGGGGCTAATCTTAAATGAACGTATAAGTCTGCATGTGGGGCTGTGTTGGTCATGGATCATACTCTGCTTACCCCTCAATACATGGCACTGTAGTAAATAGGTGGTATTTATGGTAAGTGAATCATGGTAAGACAGTGTGAATTATACTTAGTGAACATGGACAGCAAAGTCTACAAACATGAGTATTCTGCAGCACTGGTATTTAAACAATTACGCTGTAGAGATAAGAAGTGTCATTCCTGTCAAAATAAAGATCAGGAGTGCTAAAATACAGAACAGAGTGAATGAAAAATCTGCTCTTATTTCTAAATCCATGGAAATGTGACCATTTTTCTTTCACTACCCAGAAAAAAACACCTGTCAAATCCTTGGGTGAGAGTCTTAAAAAATGGGCAACTTCTATAGGTAGGAACCTCAATTTTTGTTGGTATGAAGTAGGCAGCTGCTCCCCTTAATACTTAATTATTTTGGGGTGCCTACTGCTCCTTGAGATGCTTAGCTTTTCTTTTGTTTTCACATCAGTAAAACCATATAACCTTGCTTAGTGTATTCATCCTCAGGAGACCCACTTTTAATGATTGGAATGTCAGAGTGAAGGAGAAAAGCATCATTTAATGGTTGGCAGTGATTAGCCTTTGCAAGTAGGAGGATCTTCTTAAAGGATGACAACTGAAGGAAGGCTAGACATTTAAATGCACCTTGGGATTCACCTTGTCATGTGTGTGCTAGTGTCTCCTGTGTGTTTCAGGATTGTTCTGTATGGAAAAGTTCTTAAGCAAGGGTTTGGAAACAAATGTTTGCAGTCATCAGTGAGGCGTCTGGAATGGAGCATGAGGCTGAAGGTGGGCATAGCTAGGCTGCACTCATCCTAACTCCCAAACTGCAAGTGCATGTTGAGTTTATACAAGATTCTCAGTATTTGCATTCTTGCTCTGGACAATTTTCTTTGAGCCAGGACAAATCTTCTAAGAGTTGGAGGGGGAAAGCAGCAGTGAAATACTCAAGGACTTGTTTTTTTTCCCCACAGTTGTTAAAGCTTCCATTGTGCACATAGACCACATCTGAAAATCAGACTGTCAGTGGTTTTCTCAGACATTTAGGCTTGTGTTTATGAAACAACTCCTGTATTTTTTCTTTGTCTTCAATGCAGACCGGGAATCCCCTTGTCATGTGAAGCTGTTGCGGTCTCAGAAGGTTGTTTACATCAGCTGTGGAGAGGAACACACAGCAGTTCTGACAAAGGTAAAGATGGTAACCTGAGAATCCTGGCTGCAGTCTCGCTTGCCTGGTTGTTTCACATTAGTTTCCTGGATGATGGTAGAAAAGAACAGATTGACTTACTGTATTCCATCCGACCCCAGTAAAAGAAACTAAATGGAAAATATAGTCTTATTGTAATTTATTCTGAGATTGATTGCCAACATGATCGATTGCTGTTTTTGAAGATGAAGATGTTAATAATACGTGACAGTGAATAGTAAAATTCAGGTGAATCTCTCAAAGCTTTGAGCAAAAAAAGTAACAGACATATATCCAAAAGGGTGAAAGTAGTGTTTTGTTGGAAGATAAAAAAGAGAGTGTTATTGTGCATGTCAAAATGAATGGGTGTTTAAATTAAACATTAGCAGTCACTCACAGCATTTATAAGAGGTTTTCAGTTCCAAACCTGCTGTTTCCAGGTGGTGTATAGTTTAGTGGACAGAGAACAAGGCTAGGATTTGAAAGATCACTGCTCAGTTCTTGCCTTGTCTCTACCACTTCTGCAGTGTGGCTTCCTTTTTTTGGTGCCTCAGTGTTTTCCACTGTAGAATGAATTAAACAATGGCTTTGGGATTCCTGTGGGAAATCCACCACTAGAAGATTACTTCTGTAGAAGCTCTTGTTCAGAGAAAAAGGTTACAGTCTTTGTGATCAGCATCTGACAGAGATGGGTGTAAAGTATTGTGGAAATGGGTGCTATTCAGTCCTGTTTAAATCTGCTGGGATTTCAGACTCATCTGGTGATGGTGGGGTGAAGCACTTGTCTAATGTAGACACACCTAAAGGTAATTCCCTTAGTCTCTGATGGGTGGCAAGGTAGCTATTTGGAAGCTGCATTAGAACTCACGTTTCTTTTCTGAATCCTTTGGGAATCCCCAGCAGTCTCTGCCCAAGCCTGGGCTTGTACTGAAGCTGGAGTCAGAGAGATACTGCTGGGTTATGGGTCCCTAAATGGAGAATATGCTGTTTGATTTGCTAACAGAGTGGAGGGGTGTTCACGTTCGGTGCAGGTTCCTGCGGGCAACTGGGACATGACTCAATGAATGATGAAGTGAACCCCCGAAGAGTTCTTGAGCTAATGGGCAGTGAAGTATCCCAGATTGCTTGTGGCAGGTGAGTCCTGTGTGCAGTCAGAAATTTTCTTTGGCGGAGGTTAATGCTGACACCAAGTCTTATAAATAGGGGGAATAGTCTTGCTTCTGTCAAAACTAAGTTAATTTAAATTTTACTTCCCATGAGAATTTTAAGGCTTCCTAAATGAGGTTGTTTTTTAATTGGGGTTGTTCCCTGTGCTGTAACCTGGTAAAAGATATCTTTCCGTCTTAATAATTAAGCAAGACTTTAGAGCAGCAGCCCCTTTGGTCACAAGTTTCCAGCCTCTTTCATGAAAAGGGAGTTAGTAACACTGGTGCTGTGTTGTTGCCTTTTGATATGTACAGGCTTAGCAAATGACTAAGCTAATTCTGTCTGTGAGGCTGATACCAGCCATATGCTGGCACAAGCTGCTCTTTGTCACTTCCACCTAAAGAGCTCCTTCCCATAAACTGGTGCCATCAGGTGGCAAAAACTGAGCATTGGTGTTAGTGTAAAGATGCTGCTTTGTACCAGCTTCTGGCCTGGGGGGAACCAAGAGTAAGTTTTAGTCTGTGTTTAGTTTGTTGTTTTTTTTTTTTTTTCTTGTTAAACAAGGCCCAAACTTTGTACCTGTCTCTGTTACAGACATCACACTTTAGCCTTTGTGCCTTCTTCAGGAATGATCTATGCATTTGGCTGTGGAACAAGAGGCCAGCTGGGAACGGGGCACACTTGCAATGTTAAGTGTCCCTCTCCTGTCAAGGGTCACTGGGCAGCTCACAATGGGCAACTCTCAGGGAAACCTGGTACGTACTGTGCACAATTTGGAGTCACAAGTGTGCATAAATAATTTAATTTCACCCATGTCTGTCTAAAGACATCTTGACATTGTTCTGTGAAAGTTCTTGAAATAGCAGAAGAAACCCATCCTTGTGTCCCAAATGCACTGTGGAAATTACTGGGTGACCTCTTGCTCTCTCTGTTTATGTGTGCCCTTCCCCTTTCTCTTTTCATGGCAGAGCTCAACATTTGGTGATTTTGAGCCTTCATGAAATTGTACTGATTTCTGAGGGCTTTGGTTTCTCTTCAAAACGCCCACTGCCATTTAAAAAGTATAATTTTTCCCTCCTGCTAGGCCCTATGTATCTCTTAAGAAAGTGTTCCTGTGCTTGAGTTCCAACTGATTTCAGCCTGGCATTTGAGGGACTCAGGTGCTCCTTGTAGTGTAAAAGCCTGAGGCACTGGCAGTGCAAATGTGGGGGAAAAGGCACAGTAGGAACTTGCATTCATCAACCTCTAATGCAACCGCATCTCTTTCTTCAACAGATGCCTGTAAATATCACATTGTTAAACATATCTTCTCTGGAGGAGACCAAACATTTGTGCTTTGCTCCAAATATGAGGTAAAACGCATGAAATATCTTCTCAAGTCTGCTCCCCTGTCCCAGCCTTCACAATGCATCTTTTGGTTTTGGTAATATCTCCTGAAAATTGTGTTGCTTTGGAGTCCGTTCTGCCTTACAAACCTTACCAGTGAAGACAGATGTTGCAGGGATTTACAACTTTTTAGGAGTGGCTGAAAGTTGCCTTCCTTTAGAGGGACATCAAAGAGCCACTGGGAAGACATTTTGATCAGCAAGGAGGGGAGCTCAATCTCCTTTACAGACTGGCAGTGAGGGGCTGCTTTCCTCCTGAGACACTGGGGGCAATGTGATTAGAGTGTAGGGCTGTGGACCACATACACTGAGATTTTTTTCAAGATATGCTGGATGGAGGGCTGAATGCTGATTGTTTTTTTCTGCTTCTGTTTTCTTATTTCTTTCAAGAAGTGTTTGACATACAATTTTGAGGCATGAAAATAGGTCTAGAATAAATGTACTAAGCCTTTAGTTATATATGGTGGTATTTAAGAGGGCTTTGGTACATTTAAGGAAATTATATATATATATTTTTTTTACTTTTCCTCTTTTTAAAATGAATTTGGTGATGATATTATGTTTTTCTATACCCTTCCATACCTTTCATTTTGGACTTAATAGTAATCTGCAGCTTCCTAACCAAACCTGTTCAGAGACCACACTAAGGAAGTTATCAGTTATATACAGAAATCATAGATTATGGATAAGAAGGAATTGTTTTACAAGCCTTGTCTTTGCTGAAATCTGTATCTTCTCACAGAATTCCTTGCCTGCTGATGATTTCCGGACCATAAATGAAACACGTTACACCTGTTTAATAAATGATGAAACTATAGATGTCTGGAGGCAAAAGCTTTTAGAAAAGAACAGTTCTAATTCTGTCAAGTAGGTATTGTGGCACTGGACAAGCCTTTTGTTGAAAGTTTAATTCAAATAATTTTTTTGGCTTCCGTGCCATGCTTTCACTTGAAATTTAGCAGCCTTTTCAAGTATGGTTCTTGGTCGTTTCCAAGGGGAGGTCAGTTGCCAGTCACAAGGCTGCCAGGTTAGAGCTTCTGAGCAAAACCAGAGGAATTTGAGGCTGCCTCAGAACATTACAAACGGTGGGTGGGAAATGCATTTTAAATTTGGCCTTCATTGTGTGCTTAGAGTTCATGAAAAGCATCAAGAACTTGTGAACAGACTGATTAAATTCCTTCCCCTGCGTGTCTGCCATGAGAAGGGCAGAATAGGTAGAAAGGAGGCACTGCTAGCATCCCTCCTTTCAAAGAGGGATGTTACATGATCCTGAATGAGCTGCTTTACCCTCTATGCCTCTGAAAGGGTGATCCTGACATTGTTTCCCATAGAAGGAAGGGAAGTGAGCTAAAGAGATTTGCTGGGCCATCTGTTTGTAACCTCCATCTCTTGTTTTCTTTTGTCTTCCTGCTGCAAACAGTAGTGTTGTTCAGATACTGTCCTCAGCTGCCTGCTGGAATGGAAGCTTCTTGGAGAAGAAGTAAGTGACAAACTTACAGAAGTGTGGCTTTCCATTCAGACAGACTGGAATTCCTTTACTTCACTCACTGCTGCAGTGGGATTTGATTTTTCTGATCAGACAGGAGATGGGGGCAGAGAGTGTCTGCTAAAGAGGTGGGTGGTTAAAGCTGGGTAAGGGAGGCAAATGGTCTAAGAAAGTGCATGGTGAGTGTACTGTAAGTGGCACAGATTCCTTGGAGTTGTCACAACAGTTATTTTTCCTTATGAGATAAATATAATCTTTAAAAGAGAGAGATGGGAATACGACACTAAGGGAAATGAGTGTTGCCAGGTATCTGAGTAGCCTCTCACCCAGCTGAGCTGGCTGGTGGGGGCTGGTGGGTGTGGGGGTGTACTTCAACACAGGCTGCTCCTGAAAAATATATCAGGGCCAGCATGGAAGCACTTTTCTTTTAGGTGACATCAGTTGTGGAAAGTTTTGGGCTTCTGTTTACAGGAATTTCAAATGGGTGTAACCAACAATAGGTGGTGACAAGGATGCAATATGCAGAGCTGAATCAAAGGCTATGGGTTGGGAAGGATTGTGTTGGCTGTGTCTGTAAATGTTGGGGAGGTAACAGCATAAGATGAGGAGGAGGAAAAGTTTTTTATGATGATGTGATGAGTAAATGACCTGTAAGTAGGTGAAGAAAAGCTTAGTTACTCTGAGTAATCTTTGAGTAATATTTTCCGAGAGCAACTTGAGAAAGAAACAAATTACTCATTATTCTTGCATTTTTCTGCTTGTCCAATGGTTTCTTCTCTAATGTTGTGACAAGGCAGTGTGTTACTGCATCAGGAGAGTTGTGTCATGTTGATTTTAAACACTTGTTGAGGTATCCAAGTTTTTGAGTTACTGTAAATAGTCCCACATCTCCTTTGAATGTGGAAATGAGTGTAGTTTATGACTTCATCACCCCAATGCAGTTTTCTTTCATCTTTAGTGATGTCCTGGCTAGTGCAGGAAATCTTTAACCAAATGAATGATAAAATTTGAAGCCACCGTACACGGAAGTGATGCTGTATTTAACCATGTACCTTTATATGTGAAGCCTTATGTCATGGTGCACTTGATAGAAATACCCTAGTATAGCCCTCCAGTATCCTAATGCCCTGTAGGCCCGTTTGCAGTGCAGTGTTGTGGTACACAGGGTTGGATGGAAAAGCAACTTTTCCATGCTGTGGCTGGGCACGCTCCAATAATACTTCTACACATCACAGCCTGAAGCGTGCTGTACCACAGTGTGACTCGGAGGAGCTATTTCCAGCCTGGTGCCTGTGCTGTTATAGAAATAGCCACCCTACTACAGCAGGCTATGTTTAGCTTCTCCTGTCATTATAGTCACGCCAGCAAACTAACAAACGCATCCCATCTTTGATAGCTACCTCTTCCTTCAGAGTGTCTTAATGCAGCACAGTCTCAGATGAGAGTAGTGACGGACTTGGGAAGTCCGTGAGGTCAGTGGAACTGTAGCAATGACCTTTTTTTACTAGCAACTGCGAGGTTTTATGTGCAGCTCTACTGCAGACAGTGGGGTTGCGAGCCTCTGCTACAGATGCTGATCATGCTCTAGAGGCTGAGGTGGCTTACCTGCCAGACTGGACAGTCAGTGTTGCTAGGTCTGGCTGTTGGACTGTTGTCCTCTGCAGGCTTGACTTCAATATCCCTCTTACACAGGTAGCCTGGGTAAATTACAGCCTTTCAGGCACAGCAGAAAGGACAGCATGTCTTTGTTACAACTAAAGACCATGTGAAGATTGTCCTCAACTGTGCTGTGTTTTGATTGTCATTGTCCTTTAGTTTTAGAAAATTTGAGAGTGGAATTGCTGAAAAGCTACTCTGAATATCTTCCTGTTTTCTTTCAAAAGCCCTCACCTGATGTCCCCTTGTAGAGCAGTCAGTGCTGTCTTCCCTTTCTTACTTGGTGTGATTAAACAGAATTTGCTATAAAAGTAATGTATATGAAGACAACACAGAGGACCCCAATACATATGATAGATACATATTTTACAGGATTTTAAGCAGTCTGGCGGGTCTAGGGAGGCTCTTAGGTCAGTGAAGGAATCCTGGGGAAATCAGAGACTTTGTTAAGGAGTTTCTCTGCAAGAATCCCAACCCTAACCAAGGCCCAGAGGAGTTCAGAAGGGAGAGTTGTCCATCTTGTCTTTAGAAAGATGATTTCAACTTCTACTTTGTTTCTAGTCTGATTAATTCCCCAGAGGTCATTTCTCCATTGCCTGCTCACAGGCCATGCCAATACAGAGGTAATAGTGTCTGTCTGGGATTTCTTTTTTTAAGAATTGACGAACATTTTAAAACCAGTCCGAAGATCCCAGGGATTGATCTGAACTCCACCAGAGTGCTGTTCGAGAAGCTGATGAACTCTCAGCACTCCATTCTCCTAGACCAGGTATTGTACTTCTGGGATTTTGGGTATTCAGAGGGGAAATAAAGGCTTTGTCTCTCAGTAACATGCAAGTAACAGCAGCATTTTTGGGGGAGGGTGGTTGTATTGCAAATCTGCAGGCCAGATCCTTCATGGTATCAATGGATACTTCTCCATTGACCTGGGCTGATTTTCACCTTCTCGGAATGTGTCTTAGGACTTATTTTAAAAAAAGTTTTATCCCATGGCATTTAATACTTGAAATAGCTGCTGAAATTAATTCTGTGTAAGTTATACTTGTAAATGATGACTGTGTGCTTGTTTATTGCCTATCAGGGGTTGCGTTCTTTAGGGTTGTATAATTTATTCTACCTCAGAGGATTTCTTTCATGAGCGCAGAGCTGTGGGATAAAATTGTGTATGTTCCCCATGTAATTTTTTAGTTATTATAGCTTTTTTTTTTTTTTAACTGTGGGTTTGATTTTTAAAACAGGGGTATAACCTTAACGAGAAGGGTTAACTAACCTTTGGCTAGCCCTGGAAAAACCTATCCAAACATTCATGCATTTTGGAAAAATCAGAGTTTAGTCCTATCCTATGGAGTGTTTTTAAGAGGCCATCAGCAAAAGCTGTTAAGTCCACCCATTCTGAGTGAGCTCCATTTCATCAGTTCTTACACATCATCTGCACTGTAGGTACTCTCTCACCCAGGATGAGTTGTCGTCTTCTGTCTTTTCCTCTAGATACTGAAGAGCTTTGAAAGTTTTTTGATTCCTCAGCTGTCCAGCTCACCACCAGATGTCGAGGCAATGAGGATCTATCTGATTCTCCCTGAATTCCCACCCTTCCAAGACTCCAAGTATTATATCACATTAACACTTCCTCTAGCAATGGCTATTCTGCGCCTAGATACAAACCCCAGCAAAGTTCTTGGTAAGAGGCTGTCATTTAAGATGCATGTTGCTCTCGGTATCCAGCTGGGACACAAAATGTTGCCTTTAGGTTTTTCAGTCATGTTTTTGTGTTGGTTTAATTCTTATATTCTGTTACAATGGCTGCAATGATAATTAGATATGATTTCTGATAGAGTATTGTTATGAAGCAGTCGCCTCTAAAAGGCAGCTGGGAACCAAAAGAACCCAAGGAATCCTCCCCCTAAAACCTGTGTTCTCATGTAAAAGAATTCTAAACATAACGTTTGAATTTTAAATATGAACTATGAGGAAGTAAAGAATGTGCCGTGCAGGTAAGATACTGGAGTTTTGTTACAATAATATAAAACATAAAATTTATCATGATGTGGATAATAAATGAGAAACAAAATTCAGCTTAAGAATTGTTTTAATTTAAAAGTAAAATATCATTTCAAAGGACACTTACCAGGAAGGTTAATCTAATTTACATTGTCTAGTTTATCTACATTTGGAGACTCTATTCCAGATAAATTTTCATACCTCTTTGTGAACATAGGTTTTCTATATCAGGAAGGTTAAACGATCTTATTCTCTTAAGTTTAATCAGATATTGTCCACAGTAGAATATCCTTTCTGTATAAGGTAAATAAAAGAATATACTAGGTATAATATGTAGGACAAAGTAAATGTATAAGGTGCAGAAAAACCTATTGGCTGGTCCCTGATCAAGCTGAACACTCCAGCTCTTCTCCTGCTTCTGAATCTTTGCATTTCTGCTAATACTATTTCCTTTCCTATGAGCTCATTTTAAGCTAATCAGAACATATGCGGCTTAATGATTGCTACTCATGTTTGCTAAGCTATTACTTTTCTTGTTATCTTACTCTGTTTATTAAGGTTGTCTTATACTAAATCTAGTATTATCATGTAAAATGCTAGGTAATGCATTTAGAGCTCCAGGAGCATTGCTCCGGTGAAATGTATTTTGAGATTTAGTGATTTATTTTTTTTATCCAAAGAGGCTTTGGAACCAAGTTGCCTCTTTTACTCAGAGTCATCCACTGAGATTGTTAGTACACAGAAATGTGAAGGATTCTCATACTTTTGCCTGCCAGAATCTATAGTTGTGCCACTTGAGAGGCTAAATTGGTGTTTGTTTCTAACAACTGACATGATGGTCTCCCAGGCTCCAGCTTCTACTTTGCAGGTGGATTGTTTCTAGCAAAGAAGTTAATAGTCAGGGTCCCTTCAGAGGACAGGTAAGGGTTACCTGTCTTTGGCAAGAAAGAAAACAGCCTTTCTAAAGAGAGAGGGAATTCAGACCTTTAGTGCAGATATGCCAGGAGATATGCTCTGACACCTGCTAGAAAAGTGTGTGGTACTATGGAGAATTAATTACCCAGGCAACTGCTTTCTTATCACTCAAGAGAGACGATGGTTTGCCTGGGAGATCACAGTATCCTGAATACAAGATACTTGAAACAGTGTCTTGAATTGAAGGTTGAAAAACCTTGAATTCAGGGTCTCTCTCTGATCAGGGATTGGGGCCGGGTAATGACTGGGGTGGTTGTATGAGAGTGGAAAGGGAAGAGCTTTTTAATTTTTAGTATCTAGCTGACTCTTTGCATGCTTTCCTGTTGCTACAGTTAGGATAGAAATAGGGAAGTTTTTTTGAAACAATCTTTAGGTGTGTTCTCCTATTTTCAGCTGTAACCCCTTATTTAGGGGTTACTCTGGCCATTAATTCAGGATTTATAGTGATGTTCCTCTGCGTTCCAGATAACTGGTGGTCTCAAGTGTGCCCAAGATATTTCCTCAGGCTAGTGGACCTCTATAAAGGCGCAGTAGTTTACCTCCTCAGCGGAAGAAAGACGTTGTTGATTCCAGTTCTGTTCAGTAGCTACATTACAGCTGCTCTCAGACTTCTGGAGAAACTCCACAAGGTAAGAGGAAAGCCTGGGTGTGTGTTAGCTCAAGATGATTCAGTCTTGTCTGTCCTTTGCCACTTGGCAGGGGCAAAGTGGTCATGGCCCTGGCTTGTGAGCTGTGTCATCATTCACCAAGACATCACATGGGGGAAGTTGTTTGTGTTTTTCCTGAATTCAAGGTACCTGAAGATTCAGTCCTGTCTCCAACACTAGGAAAAAATTACCCTAAAGAATACTGCTGCTGAGCATCCAGACTGCGTGCACTGTGGCATCACAAATACCTGTCCCTTGATGCTTTCTGCTCCCACGGGGTTGGTGGTGGGTAGTCTGGGTGAGGAGGAGAGGGAACTAAAGTCAGAAAGAGGTTTATCTCAATTCTTCTTGGTTCATACTAAAATATAAAGGACGATGTGTTTTTGCAAGACTTTCTGGGTCATATTGTTTCAAGCTGCTATAATTGATTTTATGAAAGCAAACCTGCATGTTCTAAGAAAAATGCTGAATATATCCATATTTTAAAAGCCATCTGTTTTCTTCACTAGGTAAATCAGAAGGTTAAACACGTAGAATATGATAAGTTTTATATCCCTGAGATTTCCAGCTTGGTGGACATTCAGGAGGATTATCTCATGTGGTTCTTGCATCAGGCTGGAATGGTAAGAAGTTTTATGTATAGTCATGAAATATCTGTCTGCGTTTGTCTCTCTGATTGTAGATCTGTATTTTTAATACCCTTAATGTGTGTAATGTATTCAGTATAGGAGCATCTATATGTTAAGTCTCTCAGATTTGGGTACACGGTGGCTTGACAAAGTTGACGTAAAATAAGGCTATCAGAAGAGCTGGAGCTAACGGTATTTAACTAATGCTTACAATAATCTCTGTGATTATTCATGTGAATTTCATTCAATCCTTGCACAAGGGGATTAATTCAGTCACTGGATCCTTTTAATGTAATCGAGACCTCAGGAGCCGTATCCTGTATTCTAAAATTATAATTTTTACCCTTTACTTCTGCTGTTTAGGCAGGTATTGAGAATAATGTAGCCAGTGATCTTAAAATGTTGATCTGTAAGAGGAGGCAGTGTGGCGTTCTGGCTAGGGGACTGAACCAAGACTCAAGAGATGTGGGTTCTATTCCTGGCTCTTCCAGTAACCTGCTGGGTGATCTTGGGTAAGACCCTTCACCTCTTTTATGCCTCACTTTCCCATCTGTAAGAAAGGAGATAACTAAACTGAGGGCTGGAATATGCTGTGTAGGAACCCAGGGAGATTAATTATAGCAAGGAAAGGAATCCCAGGTGTGAGAAAACACCAAAAAACATCCGCCAAGGGGTATGCTGCAGGAGTAAAACCTGACTGTAGCAAGAATTTCTGTGTGGACTTTCTAAATGTTGTGTGTGCTATGTCCCCTACCTTCCACCATTTAAATAGTGCTGCCCTGTGATTACTTTAGTGAGCAGAACAATAAAATACTGACTCAAATTTATGTAACAGTGATAGTTAAAAATAGTTAAGAATGTATCAGTACGGCTAATGAGAGGAGTAATTTGCATTGCAGGAGTGGTCTTACACTGTCATGTTGTGGCCTTATGGTCTCTCCTGCTGTTTTGTGTAGTCTCTGTCTTGGGGGTAGTTTTCTTCTTTTTCTTCATAAGTTTCACCAATGGCAGGCTAACACAGGCTTCTGTGCCATTTAGTTCTCTTAGTAATGTTTGATGTTCAAGTTTTGAATTAGACTTGTGCATTTTCTTGAGAAGGAAGTTCCCATGCTTTTCTTTAGGAGGAAAAAACTGGGTTGTTGGTCCCAGACAAGAAAATTTTCTGTGGGTCACCTTTGAACTAGTCTGTCCAAAAAAAAAAATACAAGACACAGGGTGAAAAGAGTAAAAGATTTTCATGTTTCTTTCTTTCCTTCACAGAAAGTAAGACCATCTATCATGCAGGTAAGAAAATTCTTTTTCATGACTTCTATTTAAGGAAGTGTTATGGAAGCTGTAGATAGGAACCAATCTGCCTCCCTTTCTTGCAGGATGCTGTGACACTCTGTTCTTATCCTTTCATCTTTGATGCTCAGGCTAAGACCAAGATGTTACAGACAGATGCAGAACTACAGATGCAGGTAATCCTTCTCTCGCGCAATTTTCCTGCCCCGTTTCTTTTTCTCTGCATTTTGTGTTGGTGCCTGCAAGGAAAGGCATTCTCTGGGAGTTAGTGTGTGCAGCACTTTATTGTTTCGATGATACAGGAGAGCAGAATAGCTGGAGAACCTCTTTGCTCTGGATATTGCAGAGGCAGTGCTTGGTGTCTTTTCCTTCAAAATGTTTGGTAACATCAGAACTGCCAGATGTGCATGTGGTGGAAATTTAAACTGTATAGGAAAGGAGTACTTACGTATTTATCATAATCTAACGATAAGAAGTAAGGTGAGGTGTCTATCAGAGGAGCTGTAAAGCTGGAAAAGTAGACAGGCTTTCAGGTAAGTGGGTACTTTTTTCAGGCTTCTGCCTGGTGTGGGAGAAGTGGTTGTCAGAAGTGAGGACTAAAGACCAACTGCTGACACTGTTCGTGGTTGCAGGCAGCAGCTGTTGTCAGCAGATCACCCACCCATTTGCAGTGAGGGGTGCAGACCTGAGGCTCTCCAGGAGCACGTTCACAGCAGGTGTTCAGGTTCAGCACCCTTACCCTGTATAGAATCATAGAATGGTTTGGGTTGGAAGGGACCTTAAAGACCATCTAGTTCCAACCCCCCTGCCACAGGCAGGGACACCTTCCCCCAGCCCAGGCTGCTCCCAGCCCCGTCCAACCTGGCCTTGAACCCTTCCGGGGGGGGGGGAGCCACAGCTGCTCTGGGCACCCTGGGCCAGCGCCTCACCGCTCGCACAGTAAATAATTTATCCCTTATATCTAACCTAAATTTACCCTCTTTTAGTTTAGAACCATTACCCCATGTCCTATCCCTACACTCCCTGACAGAGTCCCTCCCCATCTTTCCTGTGCCCCCTTTAAGTACTGGAAGGCCACTGTAAGGTCTCCCCGGAGCCTTCCCTTCTCCAGGCTGAACAACCCCAACTCTCTCAGCCTGGCCTCCCAGGGGAGCTGCTCCAGCCCCCTGAGCATCTTCATGTCCCTCCTCTGGACCTGCTCAAGCAGGTCCATGTCCTTCTGATGTTGGGGTCCCCAGAGCTGGACCCAGCACTGCAGGGGGGGTCTCATGAGGGTGGAGTAGAGGGGGGAGAATCCGCTCCGTTGGCCTGCTGGCCACACTTCTCTTGATGCAGCCCAGGACACAGTTGGCTTTCTGGTCTGCGAGCGCACATTGCTGGCTCATAGTCGGTTTTTCATCTGCTAATACCCCCAAGTCCTTCTCCGCAGGGCTGCCCTCAATCCACTCATCACCCAGCCTGGATTTGTGCTTGGGATTGCCTCAACAAGATAGCAGCTAAGCCAGGTCACAGGTAGGCTGTGACAAGGACAGCTGGCCTCTGTGGCAATGGAAACCTCCCAGCACCAGGCATCGCTCATGCCGGTGGCTCCTGAGAGAGGCAAAACATTGGGCACTGATCCCTCATCCAGTGCAGCTGGGGTCTGGGCCTAGTCCCATCCTCTGTGAAAGGACTTTGCCAAAGTCCTTGGTTGTCAGGTTTTTTTAAGGTGGAAAACTATCATTGTAGTTACTCATGGCTGTGGTACTGGTTCCATGTAATATCCATCTTTTAGCTTTTTTATGACCACTGGAACATACAGCCTGCAGAAAGGCAGAGGAGGCTCGGACTATACTCAGAAACTGGAGTCACCTTCTGCTTTCATTTTGTCACCCTCTCACATATATTTTCAGCTGCCCAGTTTGTGAGCAGTGCACTGCTGTGAGGAGGGTGTCTGCCTTATCTTGGCAGGACAGCAGGCAGGTAAAGGCTTTGTTGCCCTGAGAGATAGGATCTTTATGAAGACAACCACTTAGAGGCCAAAGAAACGAGCACAACTGTGAATGCTGGAATGGAGGAAGCCTGATTTCCAGTAGATTTCTGTCTCAGGTTTAACTGACTTTTAAACTGAATTTACAAATGTGAATTTGCCATTTACTACAGACAGTGCATGAGCGTGAATATACTATGCGGGGTCAAAGCTTTGACTGGACTTTGTGCCTTATCTGACACCAGAAAATCCGTGTAGATGAGAGCTTTGAATTATATGCGATGGGTTCCCTGGTGCCTTGCCAGGTACAGTTGTCAACTGGCTCCTTGCTTGGTATGTTAGTAACACTGCTTTCCCTTGTGGACTCTGACTCTTATCAGGGCGTTCTCACAGTGAGTTTCTTGACTCAATAAGAGCACGACTAGAGCCTCCTTTCCCCACCCACCTACTTAATGTCAACAAAATGTTCAGGAATTTGATGTCTCTCTTGCTCAGATTTGGTGAGTTGATCAGTGGACTCAAAAGGTTGTGTGGGAAGTGGTGGGGGGGCAGGTAGGCATACAGACACGCACACTTGTACAGAGTGAGCACATAATCCTTGTACCCTGGGGAAACCAAACTAAAATAGTAAGGAAGGAACACCAGCCATATAGTTGTTAACTGTTTTCCTTCCATAGGAAGAAAGGAGCTAAGCAGCAGCTGTTTTTCACCCCTCTTTTATTTACAGGTTGCAATAAATGGTGCAAATTTGCAGAATGTCTTCATGCTTCTCACCCTGGAGCCTCTGCTGGCCAGAAGCCCCTTCCTGGTACTTCATGTTCGCAGGAGTAACTTAGTTGGTGATGCTTTAAGGGAGCTGAGCATCCATTCAGACATTGATTTGAAAAAGCCTCTTAAAGTAAGTTTTCCCCACACCTTTAGCACCCTCTGTCGTGGTTTAGGCCTGATTGGCAGCCAACCACAATGCAGCAGCTCTCTCTCCCTTCCCCTCCGGCAATGAGAAGGGACAGTAGAGCCAGGCTTGGGGTTCGAGATAGGACTTTGATGGGGAAAAATTCCCCTTTATGATCACGAGCAAGAGGCAGACTTGTTAGGGGAATTAAAAAAAGGAACATACATTTATTACAGACACTAACAACACATAACAGAGTAGGACAGTGAGAAGCATTGCCACATTTTGAGAACACCTTCCCCCCAACCCTCCCTTCTTTCCGGGCTCAGCTCTGCTCCCGATATCTCTACCTCCTCCCCCAGTGGCGCAGGGGCAGGGAATGGGGGGTGCAGTCAGCGCTGCCACTTCCTTCATCTTCGGTGAGGGGAGTGTCCAAAACTTGTTCCTCCTGCTCCATCGCGGTCCCCCTCTCACAGGAGACAGTCTTCCACAAACTTTCTCCAACATGAATTCCTCCCATGGGCCGCAGCGTTCCCCACACTGCTCCGTCATGGGTCACTAACTTCCTCCGACTGGATTCCCTCCCATGGCTGCAGCCCTTCCCGAGCTGCTCCGGCGTGGGACTCCCCCACATACTGCAATCCTCCCAGCGCTGAATTACAGCAGCGGGGCTACCTTTTCCCATGAGACCCCGGCCTTCTTCGGGCCCAGCACCTTGATTATCAGAGCAGGAGCCACAGGCCATAAATCAGTGTCTGTTCCACTGTAGATCTTCATGGGTGGCAGGGGGGGGCCACCCTGCTGTCTCACCACAGGATACAGGGGGGTCTCTGCTCCAGCACACCTCCCCCCTCCTTTCTTCCTCCGTTCCTCCACTGACCTTGGTGTTCAGGCAGCTGCAGCAACTCCTCCTCACAAGTCCCACTGCCCGTCACCACGTCCCTTCTTAAATACGTTATCGCAGAGGCGCAGCCGATTGGCTCAATTTCCCAAACAGAAGTGGAGCTGACGTGGAGCTGGGGGAGCTTCGAGAAGCTTCTCACAGGGGGCCACCCCGATAGCCCCCTTCCCTGCCACCAAAAAACTCCACCACTCACTCAACCCAGGACACCCTCTTATCCAGCCAACAGTTGTGCAGCCTTTCAGCAGTTCACATTACCGGTTCACCAGTATACCATGGCTTCTCCATAGGTATAGCACATGACACTTGATCTCATCAATGTGAGGGTTAAGAGTTTCTTGTCTCCAACTCCTGGAGTGTTTTGGCAGTGGACAGTTTACCAGAAGGCAAGCGGGGGGTCTGCTCTCTTTTCCTGTTGTGTCTACTGTACAAGGTTTAGGGGAGGAAACGTTTCTGTGATATTATATGGTCTCTGTTTCGCTCTTCTGCAGCAACAGACTACTTACAATAGGAAATGTTTTATCTCTGAGAAGTCACTACAAAATTCAGCATCTGCTGTCATGTTACTGCTTTGGTCGTTGCAGGCACAGGTGGTTATTTATGATTTGCATAAGGAGTTAAACATTTTCAAAATACCTGATTTTCCACCCCCTGTTCCCTTTGCCTCCCTGCAAGCAGAGCACTGAAACAGGCTCAGGAGTTGCAGTGGCTTTGGGTATGTTAGACAGATTGCTTTGCATGGCTCCCAATTAGAAAGATGCCTGATTTGCTCAGTCTCATCTCTGCATCCCTGTTACTGACCTGCTTTTTCTACAGGTTATCTTTGATGGTGAGGAAGCTGTTGACGCTGGAGGAGTGACAAAGGAATTCTTCCTCCTGTTGTTAAAAGAACTCCTCAACCCCATCTATGGCATGTTCACTTACTACCCAGAGTCAAACCTCCTGTGGTTTTCAGACACGGTAAGTCCTTGCCCTCTGTACATGCAGGTTGCAATAATATGCTGCATTTGAATGACGGGGACGTTACTGGCAAACTGGAGGAAAGAAATGATCTTCCTCCCATTTTCCACCCACAATACAATGTGAGCATTATTTTTAGTCAGTGTAAATTAGGATAGGTCCATTAACTTTAGTAGAACAGTGATGATTGTGCCTGTTAAGGCGTTGGCTGTTTCTATTTATTCTTATCCCATAATAAAACTTGTATTAAGTATCAGATGACAGTTAATAGAACTCTTATTATCATGAATATGACTAATCATGTGCTATTTTACAGAACCACAGGTTTAGGTCGTAATGGTATTAGAATTATGTGCTTCCCTTGCCGTTCACATAATTGCAACCAATCCACTTAGTCATGCATCACTATCACCTTCAGGGTCTAAACTTGTTAATGCTTTATGAGAGGAAGCTCTTAAACGGCAAGAAGCACTGTTTGCAGTGAAAGTTGCTTGGTTTTGGAAGAGTGTGGAGTGCAAGTTCTGTACCTGGCATTATGCTGGAGGTGGTGGTTTATGTCCATTTTTCTTCTCCTTCCTAGGTAGCAAGATGTGAAATGATGCCAGTCTTGTCTTAAGGTGTAGCTGCCCTGGTGGAGTTCTTATTTATTAATTACATTTTACAAGGAAGGAAATTACATGGTACCTTTTGTAACTTGCAAACAGTCTTACATAGCAATTACTCCTCATGTTAATGCTATAGAAACAGCAAGCCTTTTGACACCAAGAATAATGGCAGTGTAAGCACTGAAAGCACAAGTCCTGTATTTACAACATTTAATAAATACAGGCAGCCAGGCAGTGACTGACATATCAGTGTGAGAGTAAATATGTGAAGGAGTGAAGGCCAGTATACCAACCAACACCTATGTTGAAGTATTTGCCTGGGTGGCACTGTGGTTATGCATAAGCTTTTAATAGAAAATACGATGGCTGATAGAGAATTGTTAACGCATTTTCTTACAGTACATAGACAGCAAATATCGAAGCTTTGTTAATGTCTAAATGCATAAGGATGTAAAAGGAAATAAAAGGTGGATAAGGTTGGAAAGCACCTGTTGCTGTTTCCGTTTCCACAGCTAATAATCATGGTTTATGAAAGTAATAGGGCTTGGTGTCTGAATCTTCGTTTCTGTGCCACACCCCAGCAAAGAATTCGCAACCAAACTGGGACCCAATGGGAGCTCTTTGATTTCTGCCCCAGTTGGAGAAGCAGAGGCTGGCTTCCTAATGCATGGGAGAAAGGGTACTGCGTGTTGCACCGGTGACAGTGCGTCTCATTAGGATTTCTCTGTGTGGTTTTGCAGTGTTTTGTAGAGCACAACTGGTTTCACTTAATTGGCATCATATGTGGTCTTGCAATATACAACTTCACAGTGGTAGACCTTCACTTTCCCTTGGCTCTGTACAAAAAACTCTTGAACGTGAAGCCCTGCCTAGAGGATTTGAAGGAGCTATCCCCTACGGAAGGAAGGTATGAAAACCAAAATTTGCAGCCTTTCTGAGAAGGGGAACCATCCAACTGAAAACAAGAAATGGCAAACTGGGTAAAAGCTGTTCAATAAAACACCTCCTGCTCCTTTTGAGTGACTGATTAATTTGGGGGGCTGTGATCCTAGCAATGTACATAAGCTGGTGGTGAATTTCATGTGAGACTTCTACTCTCCCACAGGCTATCACATCCATCTGCTTAGGGTCTGACAGCTGTACCCACCTTCCCAACCCCCAGAAACTGGATATCAGCACAGCCAAAAGATACCTACCATGCTCCTTTGAAAACAGGAGGGCTGTCCCTCCACTGTGTGATTGCATGCATGATCCCAGATCCTTGCATCAGCCTTTCCCCTCAAGCCCGGCTGGGGTTCACAAGCAGATCCATGGCAGGTCTCATGATATAGTCCAGGATGGGAACTGCACATAGGACATGGACTGTTCCATCCCTGAACCAGCATCACTCTGACCTGCTCCCATGCCAGAAAGAAAAAAGTTGAATGGAGTGAAGGAATGACTCTTTCTAAAGGGCATATCGAATATTTTCTGCCTAATTGCATGGGGATACTCGTTTCCTCTGACACGGAGTGGTTAAGATCCCCCTGTCTGACTGCTGTCTTCTGAGTTGCTGTCTAATTTATTTGCACAAAGCAACAGCTGTGTTTAACAATAATGAGGTAAAATGCCAGGAAGACAACAGCAGGATTTTGAGGGATAGGAGGAGATGATTTTCTATGTGATGGGGATACAGATATAATCTACCACCCTGTCTTCCTCCACTCTGTCCACCTTTGCTAGATAATTATGCCATCACCACACAGTCCTTAAGAACTAGAAATGTAATTCTATTCTAAGAACAGGGTCACTGAAAGGGTTCCATGTGCTAGGTATGCATAGACTATGTTGATAATTTGTATGGACTGACATGTATCCTGCTTCTAACAAAGCGTCTCTTTATTTGAGATGTATTTCTTTCTTACCTCTTCAGGTGACTCAGAGATTCTCTTTCAATCCTATTACCCATATATATGATGCTGTTTACTTTTGCTGAATTTCTTTTCCCCTTTATATGTATGGCTTTTTTAATCTCTAAATTTTTTTTTCCCCTAATTTCTTTCCCTTCTTGTTCTGCAGGAGTCTTCAGCAACTTTTAGATTACCCTGGGGAAGATGTAGAAGAGACATTCTGCTTGAATTTTACAGTAAGACACATTTAACATATCAACTCTGTGATTGTTACGGTACAGTTGAAGCCCATCTACTTATTCATGTATATTATGGTTTATTCCAAACTCTGCCTGTAGGACATACCCCCTGTTAATATTAAATGTTAATGTGAAAATTCTTGCTGTAAACTCCCTTGTTCTTTTGTATGTGGTCATGAAAACTGAGCTACTAAGTAGATTAAACAGAGTGGTTTTCAAAATAGCCTTGTTGTCACTGTGGCATGAGACTTAAATGCCACGCTAGTCAGTGAGAAGTAGATTCTTAAATCCTCCTTGAAAATGGAAGTTAAGTTTTGACATCACTAAGTCAATTCCCGAAATGCTAACACAATTTAGAATTTTCATTGCTGTCATAATTGTTAATGCTTTTTACCTTGAAAATTCATAGTGAATCTGCATGGTCAGACTTTCTTAGAAACAAAATGCTGGAGACTATTTCTAAGAGATGTTCAGTCAGCTTTCCTGGGCTACTATGGCAGTAAAAGATTTTTTTTTTTCTAGCTGTAACTTAAGTGCAATAGTTTCTATTACAGAGTATAGATTCTCTGAAATTAAGACTTTGATCTTGATGTACATTGGAATATCAGGTGTGTCCCTCAACACGTGCAAACATTTAGAACCTCACGAAGAGATACAGCATCATTATTCTCCAAGCTCTGTCTTTCTCTTGTTGACTTGGGCAGGGTAAGGGCTCCCATGTTTCAATGTCTTTTCGTTAGTCCAGATGCTCTAACAGATTGTGAGTGATGGGTTCATCTTGAGCTTGATCTGGGTTCTTGACTCTCTGTCCAGGGCCTGCCTTCAGTAAAAACAAGGTACCAGGAAGCTCTTCTACACAATGTGGAGAAAATCCATGCTGAGCTAGGAGAGTGTTGTCCATTTCCTTCTTTCATAAAAGAGAGCACATCAGGTCTCTTAGATCAAACTTATCTCTGGAGTGAGTCAGACCTGGGTCTGACTGTGTCTCATGCAGGTCAGAGCTGCAATTCAGGATGAGGTAATGAGAAGCCATAATGGTGATGACTGTGTAAAAAAGAATACCTTTGAAGTAACACAAAAGATTTTTCTCCAAATTCTCTTCTCATGCAAAAGGGCATTCTTACTGTACTGTACTGCATAATGTATAAAGACATACAGATACATCTCCTAAAACTTTGAAATGAATAAATAACAGATATCCCAAGCCTTGAAGTTAATAACTCATCTTGCATGTCAAAATCTGAGCCTCTTGTGTGTAGCAACTTGAAAATTGACCCTTTTTGCACTTTTTCCACACAACCAATTTTGTATGTACAGAATATGTGTTTGTACTGGTGCCATCCTAGGCCAGACAAAAGCAGGAATACTTTTTTCCTCTCTGACTTTGCATTTATGCTTAACAGCAGTCATACAGCAAATGTAAATGATGGAAGGTGGTAAAGCACACCAGGGCATTGGCAGCAGAGAAAAAAATGTTCCGCATATACCCTTTTCTCTGGCCCAACCTTCACATGCCAGCCATCAACTGTGAAAGAGAACTCATCTTTCTGCAGGCATATGGCCTGAAAAGTGCTTCTGGTAAAATTACTTTCCTGGTTTTGTATAGATCTGCAGGGAAAGCTATGGTGTGACCGAGCAGAAGAACCTGATTGAAGATGGAGATAAAATTCTGGTGCAGAAGGACAATAGGTGAGTGGGGCATATGGGGGGATGGACTCATACTTGTGGTGAGGTCAGGTGCAATGCCACAGAAAATTTGGCTGAGGTGAAATGTGGGAGAGAATTAGAAGTCACTGGGAACTAATTCTAAGACCAGTTGTTCTAAAGTTACTGGGTGCCAGTGGCACCTGAATAAAAAGCAAGCTTTCATCGTCTTTCCACCGATGTTCGGAAAATGTCCCACACCCTTTCAGATGAACGTCTTCCCTGTAAGGCCTTCATATAGACCCTTGGCAGTTTTCTCATGGTGAATAGAGATTACAACATGATTTTGGCCCTTGAAGGTTAATCTCCCTGATGGTTTAGAGAGGAACTGTACGTGTCCAACAAAACCAAGTCTGGCAAACTTGTTTATACTATCAGTTCTGGAGCCAGAAACACTTTCCCTTGAGTGTGCCCGACAGAGGACCACCATCCCTGATGAGAGCCATAAGGCCCTACTGCACACAGATTCCTTTCCGTTTGACCAAACGCCTGAGAGTTATTACTAGCACAGCTACCATTTCGCCCCTGCTCCTTTTTTTTTTTTTTTTTCCAGCTGCTAAACTATTTTCTTCTCATAATCCCATAATTGGATTTCTACAAATGCCGTTATTACTTGGAGCAGTGTTTAGATTTTTTTTTCTCTGCTGGCAAAACAGTGTGATCCAGTGACTAGTCAGCAGCACGGTTAGGGGTTTGTGCTAGGATTGCCGAAGACCTGGCTGGCAAGTCTGGAGATGAAGTAATTTCCTATTAATCTGATTATTTAAAAGGGTTCTGATTGTGTCTAAAGCCATTGCTGTAACAAAAGCTGTGTCTGTATTGCTGCCTTACGTAATTTACTGCTGCCCTAAAGGGTACAATTTTACAGATAAATAGCTGCAAAGCTCACGTGGGGGATGGAGCAGTGTAAGTCTGTCTCCCTGCAAAGAGCAGATGGGATTCAGGTAAATAGAGGAAAGTTTAATCTACACTTGTGACAGTGAAGTAAAGATGAAAATGCCGGTGGTGGTACCCTTTGGGATTTTAGGCTGGGCACGTACACTCAAAATGGCCATTTTTCTACTCTGTACCATGCTGGCCTGGGCAGATGAACAAAGAGTTTAGCTGAGCAGATGTTGGGAAAAGCACCCAGCTTAGCTCCTGTAACTGTTTATTAAGTCAGGATAGGCAACAAGAGAAGAAAATCCTTAAGGAGAAAGGCTAGTGTGTAGCTCCACCAGCTTAACACATTCCAAAATGCAGTTGCTTTATCTTGACCAGAGTTTTGAACTCAAGCTAACCTCTAAATCCAAGTCTAGACATGGCTGTCAGTTCATCTACCTTAATGACTTCCTCCACCCCTAAATTTAGAGGCCAGGGACCAATTTGCTGCCCTCCTGGCCTGAATAGTTTGCTGTGTGCATGTCTTTGGTCACTGCCCTTCCTGCTTGAGGAAAGTTCACTGGGAACTGAAGAATGCATGGGATTGCTTTGGCTGAAAAATGCCAAGTAGGAAATGCCTGCATTTTCCCTTTCTCCTTTGGAGTTCATATTGGGTGTCACAACATAAAATGTTCTTGATAAAAGTTTCATGACTGTAACAGCCAGAGAGGTATTAAGCAACAGTAAAGTGCTTAATCAGCCTGAATTTCCCTAGTGCTCAGGTGACTATCAGGAAAATTACAATAAAACAAATGCGCTGGAAAGTAAGTCCCCCCTTTGCTATGATTTTCTTATTCCAAGTTCTTATATTTGTGAGTCTGATTCCTTCTTTTTCTTTTCACTTTCTCAACCGTCCCTTGCTACTTTTACATAGCATATGCATTGAGAATTCCTCCACCAAAAGGTCAAAATATTTCTTTCAGTTGTGACCTCCTTAGTGAGAGATTGAGATACTGGATTCCGTGGTGTTCCCTGATCTGCTTATCCTGTGAGTGCAGGTGTGAGCTGCTCTCGAATGTCAGGCAAAAATGACACCTCCACCCACAGAGAGTAGTTTCATGTCCTGGTTTGCTACAGTGGCTGGTGCATTATTGCCAGGTGTAAAAAACAAAACAAAACAACAAAACAAAAACAACAAAACCCCACAAAAACCAAAACAACAACAAAAGAATCTGGGGAAATACTTTAAGTCATTGCACAAATAAAATTCTAGTGTTGCACTCAGATCACTGTGCTTTGAGAGTAGGAAAGAGAAAGTAGAATAAAGATGCTTAACCTCCTAACAAAATCCAGAGACAGGGTTTGGCCAGGGCCTGCCACAGGTTTCTTGCCAATGGCTACAGAATGTTATTTTTATTTTAATGCTGTTCTTGGGAACTTGCTTGAAGCAAAACAGGGTTGTCATTCTGAGAGGAGTCATTCTCTTTGCCCTGTGCTCCAAATGCACAAGTCCTGTATTAATTTAACCAAAGTGTGAAGGCTGAAGAGGAGGTTTCTCTGCTTTCTAAGACTATTTCCTTGCTCTGCTGTGAGGGGTGTTTATTGATTTCTTTTGGTGGCTTTCTCTTTGGCCGGGAGGGAGGGAATTGGCCACGCAGTTTCAGATCAGGAGTTTTCAGAGCAGGATTTCCTCAGTCTGCCTCTTGGCTACAGCTTTGGAAGTGCTGAACCACTGGCAAGACTCACTGGGGACTGAGTCAGCAGGAGCTGCCTCTGAAAATTCCCCTAGCTAGGGCTCGGTGAGGCTCTTGGCTTTGGAAGGGGTAGCCTTCTGGGCACTGTCTGTGCCCTCTCCCCAGCCGAGCGCTTGCTCGCGGCATCCTGGCAGCCCGAGGTCGTTGCAGGTGCCGAGCAACCCCCGACACCAGCGGACTGAGAAGAGCCGCAGGTTCTTTCCTGGGCTTCCTAAGTGTGGGGTTGCAGGAGCTGGGCCAGGGGGTGGACACGTCCCCCTGGGGACTGAATCCTGATATTTGCTTAACACAACCTCTGCGCAGGCCACGGGCTCCACAGGGAAGAGGGCTCTGTTCCTGAGGGCTCCCCAGCGCTTGGTGCCCCTCTGGCTCTCTCCTGGCCCCGTGGGCAGCTGGATGCAAGGCCACTGGGTGGGTTGACTGGTAGCACGGAGCCTGGGCTGCTGGGGGACCTCCCACGCTGCCGGTGCCGGGGAACAAGCAGACATATGGTGGTACTTGCGGCCTAAGACTTTGTCTGTGTTGCAGTGACTCAGCTCAGTGAGAGGAGGGCAGTGGGTTGAACCTGTTGAAGACTCATCTTTGCAAGACACATTACAGGCAGAAACAGGAGAACGTAACAGTGCTGCTGTTTGGGCGTATGACTAAAAGTGCTTTCCCTTGCCTGCTCTGTCTCGATGCACTAGGAAAGAGTTTGTTGAAGCCTACGTAAATTATATCTTCAATCTCTCCATCCATGAGTGGTATGCGGCCTTTTCCACTGGCTTCCTGAAAGTGTGTGGTGGGAAAGTCCTGGAACTCTTCCAGCCCACAGAGCTCAGAGCCATGATAGTTGGAAACAGTAACTACAACTGGGAGGAACTGGAGGAGGTAAAGCTTCCCTTCTGTTGTATATTTCTTCTTTTTCACAAGTACCAGGATTGCACACTAGGCTGGGACATGAGACGTGATAAGCCACAGATGTCTTTTTTTTTTTTTTTTTTTTTTTTTTCTTTTAATGGTCCTTGTACACCTTGCCATCATTCACCTGAGAAGTTTCTTGCTGGGCTGTCCTGCTGCTGATAAAGCTCAGCGAGGAAATTCAGGATGAGAAAGAACGAGGGAGGATGACCTCCATCTGCTCTTTTTAGGGATGAAACCTAAGAATGATGGGAGGAGACAAAGTCAGTAAAACTCGCTCCACTGCACAAGGGCAAAATGTACACTGCCCAGGGTTCAGAGGGAAGTCTGGACACAAAGTAGGAGTCGTATCCTCTCAAAATGCATAGATCAGCAAGTTATTTGCTCTGTCTCAGCCTCAGCAGTAGAAGTGGCTTTGCAGTGCAGAATACGTGATCCCGTTCATGAGTCCAGCCTGTGAACAGGTGCTCCAGGATTCCTTGTGACACATGTAATTAGCTGAATAACTAGAAGAGTAATGCCTGCCTTCCACTTACTGCTGGGAGAGCCCTTTGCTGGGTCTCTGAGCCATGCTATTGCCCACGACCCATCTGGCGCTCCATTTCTTAACTGTCAGACGTTGATCTGATGTCAGATACCGGAAGAGATCAGGTCTGGGTTCTGCTTAGTCTTTGTTTTCTAGTGCCAGATGAAATGATGCGACTTTTTTTTTTAACAGAGTGCTGTCTACAAGGGAGACTACACTGCGACACACCCAACTGTGAGAATGTTTTGGGAAACCTTTCATGCATTTCCCTTGGAAAAGAAGAAGAAATTTCTCTGTAAGTATCTTGTGGTGGGTGCAGAGTGTCTCCTGAAATTTAAGACTCAGGTGGGAGTGTCAGGAGAGCTCCAGGCTTATGACACATTGCATTAAGTGCTTGAAGATGATCCAGCATGAATGGCTATCTCCTGAGTTATCTGCTAGTCAGATAATCTGTTTTCTCCCTCTCTTGGCTTTTTTTCTTTTGTGTTCATTTTTACCCTTAAAATCACTGGGTGATGTCTGCGGTGCAAGATCCGATGCAGACTCTCACAAGGGAGTGCAGTTTCCATCCGTTCGCGTTGCCAGGTGGTGAATTCATAGCGGTCCCCAGTGCCCATACTTAACCTGGTTCCTTCTTCTGCAAGCTGAGCTTTCAGACATTGCAGCGCTCGTTTTAGGGGCAACAGGGCAGTTGTGGGGTCACAGCTGAGTGGAGAAGCTAGTGTATAACGTGGCAGGAAAATGAGACTGTGTATTGGTGTGACTGGGTAGCAGATACCTCCCCTCCTGGCGGTGGTCTCCTTGTGCTGTTATGGTGGGTGGTGTGCTGAGAAGGAGAGGGAGTCCCCTGCAGAAGGGGCCTTGGGGAGTGAGGGGGGTGTGTTGCTTCAAGTGTCCCAGACACCCACAGATCTGAGCTGCCGCGTGGGGGTCACTTTATCTGGGGGACAAAAGGGGAGACAAGGAGAAATACATGCCTTTAAGGTCAGGTGGTTCTGAGTTTGTTGCTACAGCCAGCAGCGTTCGGTCCCTTGGGAGCTGTGGTGGACACCGAATTGAAGGTGAGCCCACAGTGTGCCCCTGCTGCAAAGGTGGCGAATGGTACCCTGGGCAGCATTCGGGGGAACGTTGCCAGGAGGTCGAAGGGAGTGATCTTTCCCCTCTACTCAGCACTGGTGAGGCCACACCTGGAGTGCTGTGACCAGTTCTGGATTCCTCAGTATACAGGAGAGACATGGATGTACTGGAGAGACTCCAGCGAAAGGCTTCTAAGATGACTGAGGGACTGGAGCATCTCCTCTATGAGGAAAGGCTGCAACAACTGGGACTGTTCAGCCTGGAGAAGAGAAGGCTCAGAGGGGACTTCATCAATGAATACAAATAATTGCAGGGAGGATGCAAAGAGGAGGGAGCCAGGCTCTTCTGGGTGGTTCCCAGTGACGGGACGAGAGCCACAGGGCTCAAACTGAAACACGGCGTGTTCCTTCTGAACATCAGGGAACACTTTTTCCCGGTGAGGGTGACAGAGCACTGGCACACTTTACCCAGAGAGGTTGTGGAGTCTCCATCCTTGGAGATACTCAAAAGCTGGACGCAGTCCTGGGCAGCCTGCTCTAGGTGGCTCCGTGTGAGCAGGGGGTTTGGCCCAGAGGACCTCCAGAGGCCCCTTCAACCTCAGCCACTCCGTGATTCTGTGGCTTCTGGAAGGATAAAGGCCAGTGTTTCTCTGTGAGGCTTCCTTCCCCCAAAGAAATAAGCAGTCAGCTAGTTCTCCTGCACGTTTGAGTTGGAGAAATGGCTCAGCCAACACTTGCACGCTGGAGTTAGCAGCTGTGTAGGGAGAGTCTCGGTTCACAGCGGAGGCTTTTGTGGGTAACTCCCCCCCCCCCCCCCCAAACTGCCGTGTCGGGGACAGTGCGCGAGGGTCACGCTCAGGGCGAGCGTGAGTGGTGGGGAGCAGCAAGGAGGAACTAACCCTGGTCCCGGCATCGAGGGGCTGTGCCTGGGAGGGGAGGCAGCAGGGAGGGTGGCTGGGCCCCCTCTGCCTCTCCCCAGGGGGGAGCCTCTGCCCCGGGCATCGGGCAGCCCTCCTTTTGCTCCTTCCCGGGCGTAAGAGGGAGATTTTTCAGGGGAGGGGGGTGCTGTGGGCCGCTCTGTGGCCTTGCCTCTGCCCTCCTGCAGCTCCTCTGTGGGGCCAGCCGTGCCCTGCGTGGAGTTCAGTCAGCGTTTCGGTCCCTCCGGGCAGGGTCCCGTGGCGCGGGTGGGGGATGGAGGGGGCCTTCAGGTGCCCTCTCACTGTCCAGCCTTCCCTCTGCTTCTCCCAGTGTTTCTGACGGGCAGCGACCGCATTCCCATCTACGGCATGTCCAGCCTGCGCATCGTCATCCAGTCCACCGCCAGCGGGGAGCAGTACCTGCCCGTGGCACACACCTGCTACAACCTCCTGGACCTGCCCAAGTACAGCAGCAAGGAGATCCTCAGCGCCCGCCTGGTGCAAGCCATTGATCACTACGAGGGCTTCAGCTTAGCTTGACCTGCGTGGGAGAGGCGCAGACGCTTGGGTACGGAGGAAGAAAACGATGGGCGTGGCTTTATTTTTGTAAAGGAAGGGATCAGAACATTGCGGGGGGGAAAATAGAATTCATAATAATATTAATAATAGATTGAAATGATGCAGTCTCAGCCTGATGCTGCCAGCATTTTGTGGGGCTTCAGCAGGGACAGGCTATTGCTTTTAATTTTCTCACCTACTGAACAAAATCAGTTCAGTGGTCATTTTTATTGGTTTCTCTCCAACTCGACATCACTGCCCTCCCAGCAATGCCTTGTAGTTTGCTTTTATCACCCACAGGCACACGCTCTCACACTCCCTCTCTCTCATACACTTTCTTTCACACTCTATCTCACGCTCACCTCTCCTTTTAATCCAGTTTAAATATTTTGATGTTCCTTGCATTTAGGCTATGGTGGAAATTAAGGATGAACTGGTGATCTCCTTTTTGAAAAGCTGTGATTTCCCCCTACCCTTTTTACCTCCCTTTTTAAATGCAAGCTGGTTCTTGCTTTGAATGGAAATATCCCCTCTGTCCTTGGCGGATGGTACTGGGCTGGGACGTCATTTGTGACCCCCAGGGCGGTGTATTAGTGATGCTCTGTCTTTTTGCACCAGGATGTCTCATGGAGAATGTGATAGTTTGGGGGTGGGGGGTGTTGGCTTGTTTTTTCTTACTTGTCTCAAATTTTATTTCTAAGCAATGTCTTCTTAAAGAAGCCTCAGACTCCTCAGGGGCAGGGTTTGTGTTCAGGCTTGTGGAAGGACAAACCCTACTTAGAATAATGGGTTTCTCAAATTGCATCTCTCTTGTGTTGTGTTTCTATCTTGGCAAGTCTAGAGGTTTGACGGGTGGGCACTGCCGAGCTCGAGCTCTGTTTTTCCATCCGAACAGACCTGTTATTCCAACACAAGGTGAGGTGGCTGCTTTTGCCACTGCCGCCTTTTTCCAGAGGAGTCGCGCGCGTGTGAATGTACGTGTGAGGGGGGGTGTGAGGTGTGTACGAGCTCTCCAGTCCCATCAGGTCAGAGAAGAGGAATAAGCATGAGACCGCGCATTTGAGCCGTAACCTTCTGTTTGGAGATTGGTTTTATCCTTGCAGTTAGGGTTACGTTATTTTGCTGGTTGGGAGGAGCCCTTTCACGTGACAGCTGTTGTGCTGGGGGGCCCTAAAGGACAATCTGTATGAATTAGACTGGAAATGTACATTAGGACTTGAGTAGGCAAAATTATTATCTAAATCTATCCTGTAAGATTGGAGAGCCTTTATCCTCTTTCCTCCAGTCTCATACCCCCTCCCATCACATGAAGTTTGAATGAGCCTCCCCCCCCCCCCCCCCCCCAATTTTTCAGGTCTTGATGTAAATCTCATTTTAAGCCTAGCGTGGTTTTGACATTGACTTGTTACTAGGACATAGTATTTATGCATCATGTTCAATATGCAGTATTGAACTTTGCACCTCATAACAAAAGGTTTTAAAGGCTTCTGGGTTTTTTAAGACAAGCTGTAGGCTACACCGAGAGCCCTCCAGCCTCTTTCTAATGCAGCATTGAAGACAAATACACAGTTATATATAAAATGTTTATTTTCGATGTGTGTGTACATAGTACAGTATTATGCAATAAATTTGATGTTTAATTCTGACTGAGTGGCTGCCTTTGGGTCAGGAGGCAAAGGAGGGGCGGCTCCAGGCACCAGCACTGCCTTCCCCGTGGGGCTCGCGGTACCTCCGAGCGCCTGGAGGCAGCGCGGCGCTTCCCCCTGCCCTGGCCCTGCCGAGCTCCTCGCAGTAGAACGTAGATCCTGTGTGACCTGTAGTGTATAATTGTGTCAGGTCTAGGTAGAGTTGTAGGGTAGTGCCTATAGAATGTATATATTTTATAGAGCGAGTGACTTGTGTACCTACTTTCTGCGTATCAGCCGTGAGGCATGCTCATCTGAGGAGGATGAGGAGGGGGCAGCCAGGGCTGCTGAGGACAGGGGGGCACAGCCACACCCCAGCATACACACACACACACACAGACACACACACAGACACACACCCACCCCCCCTGCACACCCAGCTCAGGCCTCGCCCAGCCGCCTCATCTTGGGGCAAGGTGGTATTTAACCCAAGGGGTGTGTGTGAAACATCAACCCCCTGCTTCTGTTTTGGCACACTGACCCAGAGGGCAGGAGCCAGCTCAGGGCCCTTGCTGCTACAGAGCTGAGACCCACCCCCCAGTAAAGTCACACACTTAACAGAAGCTGTCACCAAGCACCTGCAGTCAAAATAGTTTTATTTTCTTGTTTTGTACAAAATACAAAATGTACACATAATGTTTGTCAAGCTATTTACATTAAAGAGACACCATAGATTCAAATTCAACTTGATTATGGAAGTCATGTAAACACAGACCCAAGCCCATATTTGCTAAGGTTTCATGACCTGTGGAATACAGGGGCTGCGTGACAGTCATCTAGTTGCTTTTATACAGCAAATGCAGCCTGACAAATTGTTGTTAATTTTTTTTCAGTCAGGCACAACCCCTCCCCAGGTACTGGCTTCTGCGCTCTAACCAACTCATCTCTTTGATACACACCAAGCTATTTGCATAATGTATCATCTTGTTGGATGTATCCACAGAGCTGGTTAGGAGGAGAGGGCTCACCAGGGTGTGCAGGTGTCCAAAGGGAGGCACAAGGTTCGCTCTGAACGCACAAGATCCACCAAGGGTGCAACAAACACCCCGTGCTGCCAGGGACCCGATGGGTTAGCGAGACTCCGCTGCCCCCCTCAAGAGCTGGAAGAGCAAGCAGCCCCTCTCCAAGGGCACAGGCTTTTTAAACAAGTTTTCTGTGAATCTTCTTACTGCAGGGCACCAAGGCACATGGGGGTGGAGGTGGGCTGATCACACTTGGACTCTCCGAGCCAAGTTATGTCTCTCGCATCCCAAGCAAAGGGCCTTAGTCCTGCACGCAGTGATGGGCAACAGCAGCGATACCTTGGCCACCCCCCCGGAGGAGAAACAGGAGGACACCAGGAAATCCTGCTGAGCAGCAGCCTGGCTCGCTCTCCTCTTGCATGTCTCCTTATTGCCTCTCTCTGATGCAGCCATTGCAGGCTACAGACATTAATGAAGTTAATGAAGCTCATATGCTACACCAGGCACACTCTGCTCCACTTACTTCCCTTCTACTGACTGCAGGCTACTTTGTATTTTTCCAGGTATTGAAATCAGTGCAAAATTTATTTTTGAGTCAGTCTGTGACAATTTCAGGTTTTGTTTGTTTTTTTAATTTCAAGAAGGGGCAAGGGAGAGGAGGAGCCCGGTGAGGCTGGGCCAATGTCATTACTGTTCTTTTAAAAAAGCAGTGATGAGATGCAGGTGAGCACTATTGCAAAACCAACAGCAACACTTTCAGAAGGGTCAGGATTTCACGGCCTGCACTTACAGGCAATAAGCTCCCCTGCTTTTTCAGTAACTGTACTCTCGATTTACCATTTTATAGCTGGAAAAAGTTATTTTATGCATTGTTTAAATGTTTGCAAGGGAAATGCCCTGCAGAAACAGATCTCCTCTGCCCCCGAACCCCCACAGCCCGTTTAGCCCACAGAATGGCATCACTTTTAGCATTAATACAGCTCTCTAACCTCCCCCCCCCCAGCCCTGCTCTTAATCAGGGACAAGACAGGTGGCAAACAGCAAAAGCAGCCACTCTTCAGAGATGTGACAGGGGGAGTTAGGCAACTCAGATGTAGGGAGAGATTTCTGTCTATACAAGATTTACTTGTACATCTTTTTATCATTGTACATCTTTATATCTTTATACAGATATAAAAAGGCATGCAACAGGTTTTACTCTGGTTCTGCTGATGCTCCTGGTGCTGACAGCACTTTCTAACACGTGCAGGGGACATTGCTGGAATCGGTGTCCTTGGCCAAACCAGGAAGCGCTGGGTACATGCACCCACTGGGACAGGGGTCTTTTTGCCCCTCAGGAATAAGGCAGCATGCAGAGACAGGAAGGGAGTGAGCCACCGGTTACAGCGAGTCATCCCGCACTTGAGGGTTCCTGACCACAGCACTTGTTACAGTTTTCAAATGCAAAATTAACTTCCCACCTGCACATGATCAAGCAAAGTCCCCTCCTAGGCCTTGGCTTAGGGAAACAAGCGGGGACCCAAATTCCCTCCCCCAGAGCCTGAAGGCCTTCGATCCCTTCCCCGAGAGGTAGGAAACGGAAATAGCGAAGCCAAAGTAAGCTGAAGCACAGCTCCACACCTCACAGGTACACCAAGCACCACCCGGCCTCGCGTGACAAAACCCACGCGGGGGGCCCAGCCCCTGGCAGCTGCGTGTCTGTGAGGCGGCCAGCAGCCAGCCAGGGCCTGCAGCCATCCGGGCCCAGCAGCCATCCGGGCCCAGCAGCCATCCAGGCCCAGCAGCCATCCGGGGCCTGCAGCCATCCAGGCCCAGCAGCCAGCCGGGGCCTGCAGCCAGCCGGGCCCAGCAGCCATCCGGGCCCAGCAGCCATCCCGGCCCAGCAGCCATCCCGGCCCAGCAGCCAGCCGGGCCCAGCAGCCAGCCGGGGCCAGCGCTGGTCCCGGAGCAGCACAGCCCCGTGATGGCCCCGCTGCCCAGCCGGCACCGCAGGGACAGGCGCAGGCCGCAGCCCAGCTCCCAGCGCCGCGGCTCATGTCAAGCGCCAGCGAACCACCGGTCCGCAACCACCTCCGAAGAGCACCTGGGAAGCACCTCAGGCTGGAGGATGTCTGGCAGCACTTACCCTCCGACACTCCCACGTCCCGGGAATAACAACTGATGTCTTAGCAAAGTGATTAAAAGGTAAGATGCTTTAATTTCACTGCCTTTAACATAAACATCCATTATTTGACTGTTTACTCAGGAGTAAACAGAACCAAATGCAACTTGTCAGAATGATGAGTTTTTCCTCTAACTCTTGCATTCTCATCTACAACCCACTCCTCATCATCATTTAAATAAACTAAAATGATTTATTATACCTCGATGTGGTAACACAGACATGCGTGTCTGAAATGGCCCCAGGGGCTGGGGAGCCCGGCAGGCCGTACTGCCATCCTACAGCAGCCAGTTTGTTCTAGTGACATGGAAACAGGTTGTCTTCTACTAACAGCTTATTTATATCACATAAAGTCGATTTTTGTACAGTACTTCACACCTTTTCAAAACACAGTCTTGTATTTAATGTTGTCCAGTCAACAGTCGTTGATGTCAGCACAGACAAATCATCAAACAAAATGCCCAGGTGTTGCCTGGATGCTTGACTTCGAGCAGCGTGGTGGGACAAACATAATTTCTGGCTATTTGTGGTTAGTGGGAAGTCAAATCATCTGTGGGAAATACAAAGACAACATTTTAGTGCTCAGGTTTTGGAGCCCTCCTCCTGTGCAGGCCTGGGAGAGGGGAGTCACAGCATCTGCAAACCCAGGGCAAGAAGTTGAGCGTTTGTACGTGTCTTCCCAGGACTGAAATCTTAAAATTCAATTCTCTACAACAGTCTTTCCTAGTCGCTCCCTTCGTAACGAAGCAGATGATGTTTGTTGGTTTTTTTTTTCCTTTTTTTTTTTTTTTCCTTTTTGCCATGGGGAAAGACTTGAAAAGAACAGTTTAAAAAGAGAGATGGTTAGGTGCAGTTTTTTTTCTTTAATGTACAATCTCAGTTAATAGGTTTTGTTACTTTTAGCTTTCAAAGTTCAAAAATATAAACTCTCTAAAGTGCATAATTGTACTTACATTTCATATAAACTATCTGAAATTCTAGCAATATACCATGTAAACAGCGGTAACTAAGCATCAGAAAATGCTACAATCTCATCAGTTTAAAAATAAAATGGACTGTTCCCTACATATCATTTTCATTTATCAAGATTTGTCAGGGGCAAAACCCAGCAACACAGATAATTTATCAGTACACAGTGCAAACAGGCTTTTAAAAATAAGCAGAGAAAACCTACTCCTGGGAAGCCTTGGCCCACTGGAAAAATGTATGACTACAAAGGAAGGGCAAAACCTGCTTCTTTTGTCCATATAAAGATGTCCAGGCCCAGATTTAGCAAAACACCCAAGCTTTAGCCCATCGCAATTCAGCAAAGTCCCAGAGGCAGACTAGCATGAGGCACGTGCTCACCATGCACGTTTTTGCTTTGCTGAACTGGGCCTGAACAACACAAAACTGAGCCAGTGCTAGGGACTTTTTGGTAACCCAACATCCTTTCTCATCCCACACTTCCACTAGTAGAGTGACACCGCAGCTAGTCTGGCTCAGCTGCTCTACCTAAAACAAGCAGGGAGAGCTGACTCTGGACTTGGAGCCCATAAGAGCGGGCTGAAGGACAGAGGCAGAGCTGTTTTCCTGCACTGCCCTGTGTTCAGCCAGGGGCTTACCCTGCTCACTCTTCCCTTCCAGCCAAACAACTTCAAAAGCAGTTTTTGAGCCCATTTATCATCCCAGTTAACACTAGCTCAGTTCTGCAGAGGCAGGGCCCACATCTCATGTGATGGGAGCTTGGCATCTCGGACAAAGCCAAGCCTCAGGTCAGCGCCGTGCAAATCCTCCGGACTCTTTGGAAATATGAAATCCAGTCTGATTTTATACAGAAAGGGCAATTCCGCAATCAG